AGGGCCCGTTGGTGCAGCGATAACACGTCTCCCTTTCACGGAGAAGAGCACGGGTTTGAATCCCGTACGGGTCACCAAGTTTAAAAATTATAATGACCGCAAAACCTTGTTATTGATAAAGTAAAACTTTTTCAGGAAAAATTTTGATACGAGGAGGCGTAGTTCAATGGCTAGAACCTCGGCCTTCAGATCCGATGATGCGGGTTCGACTCCTGCCGCCTCTGCCAGAAATACATTGGCCCAGGTAGTCCAATGGTAGAGACAACGGGCTTAAGATCCGTACAGTGCCGGTTCGAGTCTGGCCCTGGGTACCATTTGAACAGGTTCTGTAGTGTAGTGACTAACACGCCTCCCTGTCACGGAGGAGATCGCGAGTTTGATTCTCGTCAGAACCGCCATTTAAATTATAAAATTAATGATAAAAATAAAAATTAATGATAAAAATAAAAAGGAATTATCATTTCTTATTTTCAAAAAAGCCTCTTCTTTTACTTTAAAAAAGTATAAAAAGAATATGTACTTTCAAAAGAAAAAAAAATAGTTGCAGTATGAAAAAAGTTAAATGAGTTACTCTTAAGGACACAACATTGTCGAGTGCTGCTAATGATGTTACTCTTTTAGGAAGTTCTAGTTGTGAACTTGAAGTAAAGGTAATGAAAAATGGTGAAGAGGTAAAAGAATTCCGCGATGTAAAAGGAAGCGAACCACAAGTAACAATCATAATCACTATGAAGTTTCGTTGAAAAGCAGTAAATTATTCAGAAAATAGTAGTAATGATGTTATATATCATTTAAAAAAATCTGATAATTGGCAGATAAATGATGAAAATCAAAAGGTAACATGAAAACCGGGCAAAGAGGCTGAATTTCAAGAAGCCAAAAAAGAAGCCCATAAGAAATTATTACAAAGATATTTTTCAGACAAAATTGGTAAAAGCAAAGAAGAAGGAAAAATAGACGGAACCGAATTCCAGTACGTTATAGGTGATAACGTTGAAGGGGGGAAAATTAATGTAATTCTTTATGGTGAAAAAACCGACGCTCCTAACGATGCTCATTTTCCCTGAGACCAAGTAAAAATAGAACCCAAATTTTTACTAACTAAAGAGGTTGATTTTGATAGTGTTATTAGCACTAGTTGCCAAGAAGATGGGAACGAATCAAAATGAACTAAAGGTTGAATTGCCTTTTTTGTTATATTTTTCGGGACGATTATTGTATTGGGAATTGTATTTCACAAAAAAATTTGGCGTTGAATAAAAGGCGAGCGAGAACAAGAAAAAAAAGTGCGCGAACAAATTGATATCTTTTAAAATTATAAATAATCATGAAAAAAAAAATTCATTTAACTAGTCATCAAATTAATTATCATTGTATTTCTTGTGAAAAAAAGTATCAAACTATTTCTACCTCGGCTCAAGACATTCGAATAGAAAGTTGTAGCAGTTGTAATCCTTTTTATACCGGTGCTTCGGCCAGTGAAATTAAAGTGGGAGCAGTCGAGAAATTTCGCCAACGAGCCCAAAAAGTTAAAGCACAATCCTAAAAATTGTGTTAAATAATTAAAATAGAGAAAAAACTGTTTTTGATAATCTTTAGAATTAGTCATTATATTTCTAAAAATACTCTATTTTAACTAATATTAGTGGTCATACTTGTTTTGCTGAATCAGTTCAACTAATTTCTAATTTTCTTGATTGATAGAATTATTGAGAAAACTTCCACAAAAACTTTAAAATATTGTTAAATAAATGTTAACTCCATTAATCGGCAATTTTTCTCACCCAGTTTATAATTTATGTTCCCAAATACCAGCGGGTTATGTTTCGACTTATAGACATATTGCCGAATTTCTTCATATTTCACCTCGCACGGTTGGGCAAATTCTCAAAAATAATCCTTATATGTCAGAAAAAGTTCCTTGCCACCGCGTTATTGCTTCTAATTATTTTGTCGGTGGATTTCGTGGCGAATGAGGAGCAGGAGAAAAAGTTGCTGAAAAGAAAGAAAAATTAGCCAATGAAGGAGTATTGTTTGATGAAAAAGGTTATTTGCTAAAAAACTTGCGCGAGAGAGTCATTTTCCAAAGTTTTCATGAATAAAGAATTAGCCGAAAAAATTATTGAATATTTAAAAAGACTGGAAGAAAATGAATTTTCTCAAAAAATAACCAGCAAAAAAAAAAACCTATTGCTAGCCAAAAAAAAGGAATATGAAAAATTAGCAGCAATTCAAAAAGATTACCAAGATTTAGTTCAGGAGGCAGACAATAAGGAGGAACAAAACCTTTTTCAAACAGAAATAACTAACCTCGAAAAACAAAAAGAACAGATAATTAATGTTGTTAAAGAGGAAATAATTGCTGAGGAAGGAACCGAACAAGATATTGTTATGGAAATTCGTCCTGGAACTGGTGGCACTGAGGCCGGACTATTCGCTCGCGACCTCTTTGCAATGTACAATAATTTTGTCGAAAAGAAGGGTTGAAAGTTAGAAATGGTCGAGAGTAAAGTTGATTATGAGGGAAATTTCACTTTAGTCACTTTTTTGGTGCGAGGGGAAGAAGTTTTTAAATACCTAAAAAATGAAGCCGGGGTTCACCGAGTTCAAAGAGTTCCGCGCACGGAAAGTCGGGGACGAATTCACACCTCAACCGCTAGTGTAGTAGTTTTGCCGGAAGCCCAAGATATAGCCTTAAATATTCTTCCACAAGATTTACGAATTGAAACTTCTCGTTCGGGAGGAGCTGGTGGACAGCATGTTAATACTACTGATTCAAAAGTACAAATCACCCATTTGCCCACTGGAATTGTAGCCATTTCCCAAGATGGCCGAAGTCAACATGATAATAAGGCCCGGGCTCTCTTTACTCTCAAAAGTCGTCTGTTAGAGAAATTACAGTCTGATAAAGAGAAAAAAACAGGGAATTTGCGTTCTTCTATGATTGGTACCGCCGAAAGATCCGAAAAAATCCGTACTTATAATTATCCTCAAAATCGCATTACCGATCATCGCTTGGGAATTAGTTGGAAAAAACTCAACATAATTGTCAAAGGAGACCTTGAAGAAGTGTGCCAAAAACTTATTGATTATGAAGTGGAGAAAAAGTTAGCCCAATAAAGGCTAAAATATTTAAATAGCCAAGCTGAGCTGGGATATTTACTTATTTTTTACACGGTCTAAATTTCACCAAATTACTTAAATCAG